ATAAACAATAACCATTATAATGAATAATAATAATTTTGGCGTCTATTTAATTTAGTGATTTAAAGCTCTCTCGCTAATATAGCTAAATTTAATAGACACTAAAAATAGTAGGCTTAAGGTAATTAATTATTATTGTTTTGGTTTAGTAACTATTATAGTTATTGTAATGACTGATATAAACATTAACTCTCAGTGATTATTACATTTGTGAGTGCACATGCTCAGTGTGAAAGATTTGGAACACATGTTATTGTTATTGTTATTGTTTTGTTTTTGTGATTTGAGCTCTCTTCTCCATTACTATTTCTGATTCTTTGTAATAATTTGGTCAACCATCTTACATTATTACTTGGGCCTGCGCAACCGGCTCTTTTATTCTTTATTCTTTTGTGTGTGGTGTGTATCCATTGCCTATCTCTTGCACGTGCTATTTTAGTTCTCTGGTTGTGTACTGTTTTTATTGTTACAAAGACAATTCTTTTTAAAACTAAGAATTGTTATCAGTTGCATGGTCTGTTCATGCATTAATACACAACATGTACATTGATAAAAATGGAGAGTTCTCTACTTTTCATTTTGGCAAAATTTGGCCCAAGGCTATGTATTGTAGTACATATGGATTTATTTTACCAAGGGACGCAGTCCCGAAGTAAAATAAACCCATAGCAACCGAGACCGAGGTGTATCCAATTTTACTTACAATCTGATTGGTCAATTGCAAATAGGCATGGTAGAATTAGCTGTGTATTACGTTCAATATAACTAACTGACAATTGTAACAAAAAAATTAAGAAAGGTTTTACTAGTGACAACCTATAACACTATCAGTCTTAACAGTATAATTGTTAGTTTAATCATAAAAGGGACAGAAGATTCACATCACTGAGTAAAGGCACCTCTGTACTGTGTAGCCATATAAAGCAATTTGCAGATGGAGTAGTTTCATTCATGCAACAATATTAATTATATTATTGCCTTGAATGTACATATCTATGCAACTAAAGAGAGAGAGAGGTTAGTGATTAATGTTAATGTACTAGTCACCATAGGCTATACATTGACAGTTGTACTATTATTGGACAGGATGAATGTGTGTAGTAGCTATGGTTGTATGGTGTTACTAAAGTTGGCAAGACATGTTGCAGTACGATAAGATCGACATGTACATGTTTCTATCACATGTACATATTCAAACAATGGACCATTGTCATCAGTAGCCAGTATCTATAATAAAGAGGTACATACTGACTGGAATAGTTATTCATTTTATCATATACTAAAGGTCATATAAGAGACTATACTAGATATCAGCTACTGAATGATGAATACCTTCCAGTGTTTGGTCCTTGTTGCTGCTATTGGATTCATCATTACTACCACTACTACAGTGTCTGCTGCAGAAAAAAGATATTTGCTACAGTGACGTAGGCTGCAAGACTAATATAACTACAGTAAGTTCAGTGATACATCATACTATACCATCATGATAATAATTATGATCAGTTGGTCATTTAAGTAACAGCTGTATGGTACAATACATTGGGGATCCTTTTGAAGTTTTTTATAATTTTCTAAGTAAATTAAACCTAACTGTACACAGTGATTATTATTATGTATCTTTTATAGTCTTTTGACTGCTGCAGTATCCCTGGAATTGTAGCCTATGAGAGGCTTTTATCCTTAGGTGCTTTTCACTGCTACTTGTGTGCAAGCTGAGAGAAAGAAGCTCTGAAAAGAAAAGACTCTGTACTTTCAATGAATAAATAAATATTTACTAACAATAAATAAATAATTAATTTTAACTATATTTTAGAACTGATAATAAAGTTACATAAAAGCAAATTTTTTTAAAATTTTTGATTGTTAGAGCTATTAAACATAATATTACACTCCATGTGTATAATACAATACTATTGTACCAATGATATAATGTTGTTGATACAGGTGAGGTTGCATGGTGACTTCAATGCTAGTTCATCAACATTAATTTTATTTAGTTTTATGTAACTACATCAATGTCCATATTGCTACTCAAAATCATAGTCTTCAAGCTTTTCAGAATTAGAGCTAAAATTAATTTTAGTATGATTTTTTTAAATTAGTTCTGGTTCTTAAAACTAGAACTAAAAATGTCACTAGTTATAGTTAACTAGAACTATACTATAACTAAAAAAATTTATTAAAACAGAAACTATAGCTAAAACTAAATAACATAATTACCAAATAATAATAATAGAATATAATAAAAATTTGGTGTGATTTTCAAGTCATTTTTTGAAAAAACCATTTGCATTTTCTTAAAATGTCCATAACTTAAAAAATTGAAGCATGAATTAGCTCAAACTTTATACACAGCATACATCTATCAAGATATATTTTAAAATGTAATCAAAATTTGGGATAAATTTTGAGTCAGTTTTTGAAAAAAAAAAAGGCTTATAGTACAAGGTTTTTTCAAAATTTTTCCGATTTCAAAAAAATGGTCTACTGGCTACTGATGACAATGGTCCATTGTTTGAATATGTACATGTGATAGAA